TGTTGTTGTTGTGTGTGTGTGTGTGTGTGTGTGTGTGTGTGTGGTGTGTGTGTGTGGTTTTGTGTGTGTGTATATATGCATGTATGTATGTGTATGTGTGTGTGTGTGTGTGTGTCATTGACGCGCACGCGTGTGTATGTCTTTTTCATATCTACCTCTTAACTCTTTCTGTTTCTTTTCTTCTCTGACCAGTTTGTACATGACCAAGATGAAGACCAGCAGGTTGAACAGTAGGATAAGACCCGCTGGGATTAAGAAGGCGTAGATCAGAGGTTCACGTGCCAGCCAGCAACTGTAAATAGATAACAAACAAACAAAAATTAGAAAACAGAAAATGTTTTTACTCCATGTAGCTTTGGTGTCTGGAATATGCTTACCGTCATTCGTTCTGAACCCACGCATCAAGACTGTCAACATAACTCATGAGAGCAAATTACGGAACCATTCTGCAAAAATGCAAAAACATAGTGGAGTATTTGACTCACAACTTGCACGAGGACATTACCATTATGCACCTAAAGTAAACCATGGGTCTAGTACGCGACGGAGATTCGGCACCAGTCTGTACAATTTGAACCACCGGGGCATACACCTATTTTTTTGGAAGGCGTATTGGGTTCCTTAACGTGTGTATGGTGTATCTCATATCTGTGACATATCCTCAAGATCAAAAGCACAGCAGTGAGACTTCATTGCCACATCTTTGAAAACATTACTTACGATTTCTCCATTGTATAATTGTAGAGACTTGAGGGCCCAGCAGTTGACAGCGTAGCAACAAGAGGAAAGCCTGGAGAAACATGTCAAAACACTCTAAAAGCCAGTTCCACGGTCTTCGCCAAATGACGTTACCCTTTCTTTTCCCACAAACAGTTTTATCGTAACAAAGTTTGACATTCTAGTGTTTCCTTCTGGATTTTGCAAATGAGGTCCTTATTTGATAAAGTATGTTTGGTTGTGTTCACATTCATTTAACCCAAATACCCCAAATATGAAATTCCAGGCAGTTACCAGTTTGGAAATATAACATTTTCTCATTAAGTATGCAAATTAAGTCTTCATTTACATAATCAATATCTGCCTATATTTCTCTCTTTCTCAATTACATATGCAACAGGTTTGAATAGCCCTTTCATGAAATGCAGCTGATTTATAGAATCTCCTTATTAATTATGCAAATTCCATCAGGATTTGCATAACTGTCATTTAATTACTTCAAGCACAAATTAAACTACCTACACACCGAAACTGACGACGATCCACTAACCGGTTCTTGAGTTACCCTCCTTTAAATATTTTCAACAAACTCCCCTGCATTTCCAGAACAAATTACTAAGGGGCCCAAACTCACGTAACTTCTTCCCCAGCACAAGAGCTACCTACCATCAATTTCGTGACCCTAGCCTTTCTAGATCATACTAAAACAGAGTTTCACTGCAGTAGCATAACAAACCGACAGGGGGTCCAAAATGTAATCATTTTGGAGTGTCATCAATACCTACCCACCTAGCAAATATCAAGACAATCAATTTTATTTAAGCCCTTTCTGTGTTACTGTGTTTACACACACACACACACACAGATCGCAGATAGAGAGAGAGACGTGAAGTAGCGAAGGTAATGAACCTTTTATTTCTATTTAAAAAAAGGCTGAATAACTACAGGAGCTAAAATGTATCAATAAAATATATAAGAATTTGAAATATATAAACTATACCAGGAAGTTAATGACACCCACCATATGCGTGGACCAATTGGAATTGAGTACCAATTTTAGATGGTTATGGGAAGAAACAACTCACCCCACGCTACAGCTCCAGCCTTGACGACGAAGTTCTCAGAGACATGGTCAAACACTTGCACAACGGCTCGGTACAAGTTAACGGCTTCCACTGCCATCCACATCAAAGCAGCCAATAGGAAGTAGTGTAACAATGCTGCCACAGCCTTACAACCAATGGGAGAAGCCGTGCGGTTGATGCCAGCGAGGAAGATGACGAGAGTGGCCAACAGAGCCACACAGAGGTTGATGAAAGCGTGTCGCTGGTTCTTAGCATGACCTGTTCTGGTTCGGCGTTTGTCTCTTCTGGAGTTGGAAATACATACCAGAACATGCCATTGTTATACTAACACTGAGTTTGTATTTCCTGTAATTAGATGATGTAATGATGTAATTAGAACCACGTGATTTCTACGTGATTGAGGCCCGCGCCAACTTTCATCTCCCATAACGCCTGAACGGCTTGCGCTATTGACCTTTAAATTTAGTGACTTTTCCTAAAATATTTTTGGAAACAATTTCATATTTTAAAATTACATAAGTGACATTATGACATGCAGTTTTGATAGAAAGGAAGTGTAATTAAACATTAAATCCATGAAATTTCTAAGTTTATACCAAATTACTGAATTTTCCAAAAACTGCCTTTCAGAAACCCTTTGCCATGGCAACCCCAAAATCTCTAGCTTGTCTAATCAATATGAAAAAAATATATCTAAAAAATATGATGTCAGATATATTTTTTGAAAAGTCGACAAATTTGATGGTTCTAGCGCTGTTCAGGCGGTATCCGAGATGAACGTTAGCGGAGGGCCTCAGAAGCCACCACCCCCGTCTGAATAGGATTAAATGTTATTTGCATCATCATAAAATACTTTCATATATGGCATTAAATGGTTTGTGACCCGGTATAAAATGATTTTTGTTCTTGCGTCCAGCCGCTCAGACATAAGATTGCTCACCTTGTGACGATAAAAGAGAATAGAGTCAAGACCAGACAAACGAAGGAGACGACACAGCCCACAATAGTGATGATCTCTAGCGGTTTCTCATGGTCTCCAAAACCCTCACCGGACACATCCTGAATAAGTAACAATCCAAATGTTAAAAATGTATATAGCATATATAACGTCATGTTCTTAAATCGTGCTAAACTATGTGTTCATAGTATTACGTGAAAAAAAAAAGTGCATTAGCAGGCAAGGATCGTCACGCAAAATTAGCAGTTGGAAAAAGCCATGTTCTTTAGATTTCATCATCAACTAGTTGCTGTCTAGTGCCCTCACAGTATTGTCTTGTTATCTGGAACACGGTTTAAATTTGATATTCAGGAGTAATAATAAAACGTGCAGATGTATTATGAAATCTATTGTGATTTTTTGAGCTGGTTGCTGGGCAGTTCACCATCACTGAGCAGCAACATGCAATGTACTTAACAACTGTTTGTGTTGTTACTTACAAAGATGATGGCGAAGTTGGTGAGGTGGTTACAGGCGCACGTGTACCGTCCCATTTTTTTGCCCTTGCTCTCACACCCTTCAGTTGACCACGCGTCGGCATCAAAGTCCCAAAACACACATTTGACCTCCCTCATATCTTCAGGAACAAAACTCCCCTGTAAGGGGACAAAGGTGGTGATAACCGGTTCGGGCAGGTCCTTAACACGCCTCCCTGCGATTCTGCCGCCGATGATGCGGGTTCCCACGGCACCCTGGGAATGGACCGTGGCACTCTGGGACGGCCCCACGGCACCCTGGGAAAGTTGGACGAACAGGCTGCTGCTGTTGTAGAGAGTGTAACTCAGACGGACATCTGCGAGGGGAGCAAATAAAACTCTCCTTTGATTTTGCCCACTAAATATATCTATACACTGGGCAAAATGGCTACGGATCCCGGCAGATACCGTCGCATCCGTCAAATCGATCCGTCACGGATGCGGAAGATTTCGAACAAATGCGAACAAATGCCAAATCAGTTAAGGATACGACAAAATCCCCAACGGATGTGATACCGTATCCGCTCGGATAGCAGATACACTATGGATACGATGTTTTATATGCTCGAATCCCTAACTGTAAACGAATACGGATATATCATTTGCACGAATCCTTAAATAAAAACATTTGCAAGGATCGAGAGGAATAAACTTTTTCATTCACTCATTCAATTTTCTTATTAACATAGACAGGTTTGACAGTGCCCACTCTATCAAAGAAGTACATTGGTGGTTATAAGGATCCTGTCAGATCCGCGTTCCGTATCTTCTACGAATCCGCTAGCCAAATGAACGACCAGGGATCCTATCAAATCCGCTATCCGTATCTTTACGGATCCGCTAGCCGAACCCACCACCAGGATTCCTATCAAATCCGCTATCCGTATCTTCTACGAATCCGCTGGCCAAATGAACGATCAAGGATCCTATCAAATCCGCTATCCGTATCTTTACGAATCCGCTGGCCCAACCCATGACCAGGGATCCTATCAAATCCGCGTTCCGTATCTTCTACGAATCCGCTGGCCAAATGAACGACCAGGGATCCTATCAAATCCGCGTTCCGTATCTTTACGGATCCGCTGGCCAAATGAACGACCAGGGATCCTATCAAATCCGCTATCCGTATCTTCTACGAATCCGCTGGCCCAACCCATGACCAGGGATCCTATCAAATCCGCGTTCCGTATCTTCTACGAATCCGCTGGCCAAATGAACGACCAGGGATCCTATCAAATCCGCGTTCCGTATCTTCTACGAATCCGCTGGCCAAATGAACGACCGGAGATCCTATCAAATCCGCTTTCCGTATCTTCTACGAATCATACGGATCGTAATCATACGAATATACATATCTTCTATGACCAGGGATCCTATCAAATCCGCGTTCCGTATCTTCTACGAATCCGCTGGCCAAATGAACGACCGGGGATCCTATCAAATCCGCGTTCCGTATCTTTAGTCCGGTTGCCAAACCCCCGATTTTTGGAGAACCTTGCAATGCGGTCCATACAAAGTTTTTTTGTTGTTTCTATATCTCTGAGGTGTGCTCTTTCAGAATCTGAATGATGCCACTCTGTCATCCTTGGGCAATTCGCACAATATGCAAATTAAGGTGGCCATTACTGAAAATCCAGTTTTCGTCAAAATCTCAGTAACTACTCATGGTATCAGAATAATTTTGGTGTCTATTCCCATCTTTTGAGGGATAACAAATTAAATCAAGCCATTTCAGTAAAGATAGAACCACTATTTTTTGCTAAATATGCAAATTTGGGCCGCGCAATATGCAAATTAGGGCGGCCATTACTGAAAATTTGTTTTTCGTCAATATCTCAGTAACTACCCATGGTATCAGAATAATTTTGGTGTCTATTCCCATGTTTTGAGGGATAACGAATTAAATTAAGCCATTTCAGTAAAGATCGAACCATTATTTTTTGCTACATATGTAAATTTGGGCCTTGTCTGTTATTGACGCACCTGGCTGCCAGCAAGGAGGGGTCCTAATTCCGACCCATGTTTCATGCAAACGCACATGCCTTGGTATAGTTTATCTGACCCAAAACCTGTTCAATATTGAAAGACAATTCTACGTTTACTTAAGTCTAGATGGCAGACGTCTTCTAGCATGAAACGCCGCTTGCGTATGATTGTAGACACTGGTTGTTGGTTAGCTCTGGCTCATATATCTGTGTTGGGTATGAAGTCCTGTCGTTTGATGCTTAAGATCTTCCTCACGCATTCACTATCAGAAGCATCCAGTGATTCCAGTCTCTTTTCTTGGCTGATTTCCACATAGTAGGTTTCAAAGCCAAGCTGGTTGAAGGCTGCTGAGGCCTTTCCAAGTCTACAGTCTAGCTCATTGTCAACTGTCCTTTGTTGTTGATGGAGCTCCCAAGGTAGGTGAAGTTGTCCGCCACTTTCAATTTGTTCTCGTCAATGGTCACACTTCTAAGAGGAGCGTGTGTCCCTATCAGCATGTTAATTGCTTTTGGCCCTGATGCTGAGCCCAATGCTGTCTGCAGACGGACTATGTTGGTCACTAGGGGTTGGAGATCTCGGGTGTTTTCCGCTATGTCGCAATGTCGTCTGCAAAGTCAAGGTCGGCAAACTTTGTCTCTGGAACCCACTTTACCCCCAGCCCTTTTCTCCTGTTGCTTCCCAAGTACCCAGTCGATAGCCACGGGAAAGAGGATCTGTGACAGGACACAACCTTGGAGGATCCGTCTTCAAACCACCAGCTGTATCTAGATTCCTTCAACCGTCCGTACACAACACTTCGAGTTTCAGTATATCTGTTTAACTGTATACATAAGTTTACTTGGCAGTCCATAACTGTACATGATAAAGAGGGACTTTAGATGCTATCAAACGCCTTGCAGAAATCAATGAATCTGATAGCTAAAGGGGTTTGCAGTTCAGCACATTTCCTCCACCGCAGGGTGAAGATCTGCTCAGCACAGGATCTCTTTGAGCGAAAGCTAGCTTGTTGCTCGCAGCTCCCAGAGGACCTTGCCTACTGCATCTCTCATGCGGTTCAGGAGGCATTTGGCATACACCTTCACTGGTATAAAAAAGAATTGTCACTCCCCTTAAGTTATCACATTCATTCAGGTTTCCCTTCTTTGGAATGCACACTTTAAGCCTATGTCACAATTGAAGAAAGGGGCCCGCTCGGCGCGTTTTCGGCCTGTGTTTTGGCACTACCGAATTCGGAACGGGACCTGGAAGGCAATAGGCGGGGTTCCCGACGGCTGCCGGCCTATTTTTTGGCCCCGCGACGTCGCCAAATTGATTTGACTCAACTTAAATCACTTCAGGCCCCGGCGGGCAAGGTACGCCGAAGCGACCCCGTAACCTCACCGGACCAAACCGTAACCTAGCCGCCGGGTCACGCACAGACACCTGTCCAAGATTATGAAGTCACGTGTGTTGTTCTGTGCTAGAATTGTTCAGAAGAAGGTAGTTATAGACAATATAGAGGGTACTGTGCTGTTCTCGACATAGCTACATCATCAGTCAGTCAAAGTGACCATACACGGGTCTGCGCATCAACCAGCAGGGCCGAACCCACCATACCAGCCACAGGCGTACCAGCCTGGGACCTGCCAGGATCGCCCCTTGACCCAGCCAGGGACCCTGTAGCTGCCCGGCCGGAATGCAAGAGCACCCTATCGCATCACGCACAGGTCTGACAGAAGACTGACTGGGCACCGGACGGGTCCCTAACAGAAACCGGTCGTCAAGGGGACCAAAATTTGGTGAATTTTACATAGAAGCCGCCTCAGCGCCCCGACAGGGAGCCGTAAAGGAAAATTCAATTGTGACCCTGACAGCCGGCGTACGCTCGGCTTCATGACGCCGGCCGGCGTCTACACCGAGAACATGCCGAGCAGGTCCCGTTTCAAATGTGACTCCAGCTGAACTACTGATCCGTTCTTCCAGTCCTCCAGCACTTCCCTGTGATCGCCGTTGAATGCCTGCTTTATTCCAAGGAAGGCGTACTAGGGAAGATGGTTATGGTTCTATTAAAGCGTTTGCGATGTACGGCGATCAAAAAAGCATCCATCTCACAACTAAGTCACCCTCGGCTTTAAGCATCTCTGAAGTGATGCCATTCATGCCTGGTGACTGACTTCAGCTTCGGAGATGTCCTCGATCTCAAAAGGTAATGGGTGTAGGTGTTCATCAAAGCTAATGCTACTGAGGTAGTGCTTGAGCGGTTTAAGACTTTTTGAAAAGTATTCTGCCCACCTGGCAAGCTTGTCCTCCCCTAAGACAGTGGTAGGGTCCCATCCTTCGCCTTAATTAGGACTGTGCACTTTTGAGCGGCCGCCGGTCATCTTTTTGGAGATCTGTTAAGCTTTGGTCCCAATTGTAAAAAAAGTCCCTGGCGGGTAGTTCCCGGGCTGTTTTTGACACTTTCAGGCGTGGGACACCCCGCGGCTACCGGGCTATTTTTTGGCCTGTCCGGGAATCAAGAAGAATTCAACTCTGACTTAAATTCTAAACGGGGCCACGATGACAATAAAATTCAGGACGTCAAGTTAGCGCTTTATTCTGCCTGTACACAGACGCTGGTAAGGCACAGGTGTGGGCTTATGAAGGGTCTAATATTTTTTTTAACAGATTGTATCATTTATTAACATTCCTATCAGTGTTCAGAGGTACAGGCGCCCATGCTATATACTGGTTAGTTTTTGCATAATTTGCATTAAATGTTGGTGTGATTAATACTGGGATGGTTTATTCTGATTATCTAGCCTTACAAAACATGTGTATAGTACAAATGTATGTGTATTGTATCCAAAATTATTGTTGATACCATGAGATTTATTGAGATATTGACGAAAAACAGATTTTCAGTAATGGCGGCCTAAATTTGCAAATTAAGCACAAAAATATCTATTTGATCTCCACTGAAATGGCCTTATGCTCAATAGATATTCCAGAAAAACATGGGGAAAGACACCAAAGATATTATAATACCATATGTAGTTACTGAGATATTGACGGAAAACAGATTTTCAGTAATGGCCACCTTGATTTGCCTATTGTGCGGCTTTAATTTGCATATTTCAGCACAAAAAACTGGTTTGATCTTTACTGATCTTTACTGGCTTAATTCCATTCGTTATTCCTCAAAACATGGGGATAGATACCAAAATTATTCTGATACCATGAGTAGTTACTGAGATATTGACGAAAAACAGATTTTCAGTAATGGCCGCCCTAATTTGCATATTGCGCGGCCG